GCAAAAGATGCGATTGGCGGTTTCTTTCAACAGTCAAAATTGAACAAGACCTGTTGGAGCGAAGTTCTACTGTTCAATATGGTAATTACAGGAATGAAGAATAATTGATTGAATATGCTCACATCACTCACAGTGACCTTGAACGAACAAAGACAAACTGTTCCATGCCGGACTTAGCCCACCGCTGTCACCAATTCGTAATACACGGTATGAGGTTGATTCCATTGTCATTAACGTCGTCAAAATGCCGCAAACAAAACTCGCTTTTGGAGGTGAGAGGGATCGAACCAAACCGTAAACGCCGCCCAATATAGACGCTCTCAATGAATAGGTACCACACACTTCAGATAGCAAGTTCTTCTTGGACGAGGGAATTCCAAGCAACCGGACAGACAACCATGAACCAAAAGGTCCAGTGACAGAGACAAGCACATGACTTGTTCCCAACTAAAATGGTAGCGGCAACATTTCAGAGAATGAAAAGAGTAGATTATTACTCAGGGTCTCAAACGGTGCATGGGTGGAACGGTTCAGTGCTCATGTAACAACGGACACCTAAAACGGTCCCTTGAACTACAAGAAAAGGAGATGGCGCATAGCTCTAACAAATTTACAAANATAACTACTTTCGTTAAAATTGTAAAAAGTTCGGTAGCCACTTTGGGATTCGAACCCAGTCTTGGACACCGCCCACACTTTATTGTGGACCGAAACTCCAGTAACTTGGAAAATCGAATGGAATTTTGCCTACTTTAGCGACAAAAACTTTAATTTCGATGAACCCCACAAATGGAACTACGAATACTACTGACGTGACCGGTAGAAAGAATAGCGGGATTTTGGCAAGCAATTTGTCGATCTGTATGCCGTGATGGTAGAGGGACCAGCTTTTCATGCAAAGGACTGACCCAACTGGCTGTCGTACAGGAGGTGCAAGATTCTGAGGCGTACGTCCATGGATTGTAGCTGCACATTATGCGAGCAGCGACGTCGAATGGTCACGCTGAAGTCATTTTCCAGCCTGATATTACCGTCGTTCATTACTCGTATCTAGAATAATGCTGCATATTATTTCGCGTCATCAAAACACTAATGTGACCTGTGTGAAGCCCAGATCTGAACCCAACGGAAACAAATAGGGGCTGTCCTTACTGAAAACGAACTGCTCATTAAAATAAAAGACAACTTGACGAAATGTATTTAGTTCAGCTTTTCGTTTGATTGCTGTCAAGATTCTCCAAATTCTAGGTGTGGGGTGGTGGTACAGTACTTTTGTTGCGGCATGTCAGACATAGTACTATCCTGCACACTAAACTTTGACTGAAAACAGACAAACAGCTTGTATTTGAAGATGATCTCTTGTAGATCCAAGTAGAATAATTCATCTACTGCTCCCGATGTGATGTAAACTTACTCCGGGGTCTCGCAGCGCAACGGAGTGAACAGAGATGGGCTACAGGATGTCCCTCGGCTCCCATTCTCACAGTTCCAGACGATACGTGGCTTTGCGGACGACGGACAATGGCAGAGGAACAAAGGTAGGTCGAGGATACCACCGGGACACGGGGTGGCGAAGGAACACTGACAAACACGTCCTCTTCGGGTCGGGGTTAAAGATAATCGGGCAAGGCAAGGCAAATAAAACGCTCCATATGCCTGCGCTGCCGAGACAATAAACCGCGCCCCGTAGCCCCGTTAGTCTCTACACACGAATTTCCTCCCCCTCGTCGGTATCTACTGTGCATGTTCACCTTATCCTACTTATAAAACAGCACCATTTCTATCGCATGTAAATGCATGAAATTGTGTGGAATCAACGATCTTCCAGGGAGTGAAAATCACACAACAGTGCCTGGTGCCTCTTAACAATCGAATGCGCTAATCCAAGCTTGCTACAGTGAAAGTGAAGGAAGTTTCTTTCTTCAACTGGTGTGAGCTAAATCTTTCGAACTAGAGCTATCTCGCTTTTCACAATGTTTTACTATACTGTGATTATTACACTGACCCGTCAATCCAGAGCAGTATTACTACGTCTAACTGTACTAGAATGTTGTCTGTTCCTCCGTGCACAGCTAACCTTAAATTAGAATGAACAATGTTGAAGTGTTGTAATAACTTGTCATATCTACAACCGGTGTAAAGTTGACTGTCGCGCTGAGCAATCGGGTCGATCATTATCATACTTGACACCATCATTCTGGCAAATAATGAAGTCACACTTGACCCCGATGTCCTCAAATCTTCAAACCCGCGCAGCTTTTCGGGACTGTGATAACCAACAACAGTATTTGACTTTTTAAAAATGATAGTTTCCCCTTCTAACCGGTAGGTGTCCAAGTGCAACCGAACAGCTGTGAAAAATTCTCAAC